ATGTTTCTAGAAATTTAACGGCATTATTTCAATTTTATGATCTATAATTTGATAAGCATATATATATAGCATATTCATCAATCTCTTTTGTTTTTGGTCAGTTTTAGTGTACATAAAAGATAAATAATGTTCAACTGGGATTTAAATACAGGAATTAGTCCAAGTTTATCTTCAAGATTTTTCACTCCAAAGATCACCTCTACACTCGTATAGATTGTAAATTCATTTCAATGCCAATCTATAAATTCGAATTTTGTGAAAATGCTAAAAAATTGTCGTATCAATTAAGTAGAAATATATCTTGATCGAAAATCATTCTAGAAATAGATTTTCTACAAATATCAATAAAGTATTGTAGAATCTTAGTTTTTACAGAATCTAACTTAAGATAATTTGAAAAATCAGACACTTTTCTCTCCAATAGTTTCATGCACTGAGCTAATATGCCGCGATTTTCATAGATAAGAAATATATTTTATTTTTGCTAAATGGTTACTGATTGTTGTCAACTGTTGAAATTTAGACGTAGTGAAGATTACATTACGAGTAACGTCTGAGACCCATGAGTGGACTAATATTATTTATATATTCTTACGGTATAAATATTCAGTAACTAGATTATGTATATTTATATTCCCCTTGTTATAAGCTTCATTTTGACCTGTAATTTATTATTGTACGATTTACGGTTCTTAAGCTATGGTCAGTTTATTGACTACTGCCTCCTACGTTCACAGCCACTTTTTGGCTTTATTGTGTATGAATGTTATTTCCTATTTTATGCTGCGTTACGGTCTGTTTGTATGGTATATAAACCCAGTATGTCTGAAACAGAATTCGATTCTATTTGTATATTAGAAGCTGGTATTTGGTGTTCTGGGCTCAAGTGGACGGGCTAGAAGGACATAGAACCAATAAGGACGCTAGGCTGCTCATACCGGTCGAACGTCATTGGTTTGGCACAGTGCTAAGATTGTATAAGTCATATTTTGATTGGTGGATAAATCACGTGGTAAAATGCCGGACATAAACTCATGACAGTATAAATTATTAAGTTCCAGCTGATTGGTCTAGAGGCTAGTCACTAGTGCGTAAAGCTGAGGTCGTGGGTGAGGTCATCTGCATGATCGTTGGTACGCACTGCTGGGGCGTCTTGTGGTAAGACAAAACAGTTGTTTGGTCCCTCCAGGCTTTCTATAAGGATTTAACTTAGGTCACTTTGTGACAAAAATAGAATTTTAAAATCTTCGCAAGTTTCTATGCTGATAATCAGAAAAAATAATTTCGAACATCTTAATGGTTTACTCAACATATTGTTTATTTTAAGCACATAAATTGTAAAATAAAATTTAAAATCAATGAAGATTGTTTTAAAATTAACTTAAATTACAACAATGGTATAAACAACAGATGATGCATTTAAGTCAGGAGGACTCGACGAGTACAAATATAGATATTAATGGAGACGCAAAGTATCTGTGAAGATACACAGGGATTGATCCAGTGATAAAATCAGGTAGATAGCAATTATTTAAGTTGTATAGTATTCAATGTTCAGTGTCAAATTAAATAATGTTTACATTAATCGGTCACTAACTGCTTATAAACACAACATTATATTATTCTTAGGACTGACTAAACTCTACTAATTACGTTATAATGTGACCACTGGACTAAGGAACTCGATATCCCCGTGCAAATTTGTTCATTTTAATTGACTCGATGTACTCAAAAGTGACTTATGAACCTAGATTTAATATGACTTAGCGCTCATCAACTAGACGATTTCTCAAACCTCAACGAACCTGGCACACCTCATGTGGCCGAAATCGGTTTCACGAAGTGTTACAATGATATTCGAACAGGAACTGACCTCCTGTAAAAACAAAACACTCATAAAGACTAATCACTTGATAGTAACCAATGTTTTGACGCTATGGTTGAAATCAGAATATGACAGCCAGAATAACTAGCTGAACATCGTGTTGCAATTTATTTCAATGTTAGTGATTGGAAGGAGTCATCATAAAGATCTGTAACTCAAACACAATTTTCAGGTGATTACAATCCAGAACAAAAATTTCGGAAAATTCATGGAAAACGTAAGAAGGGAGATGTTATAGCTTCAGATTATCACCTGGTTGTGGTCAAAGTGAAACTGAAGCTAAAAGACACTGGACAAGCTATATTACAAAAGTTCAATACAGCCTTCCTGGAGAAATGAATAAATATGACTTGTCAATGATTGAATACAAGAGGCCAGGACAGAGTGGGTCGGAGAACCCTAGTTTAAGGTCTATGCCCCACGAGAGGTAAAATGTGTAAGCAAGTACAATTATGAATGAAACCTGGTTGCAGAGAATGCCGTCTATCGTTCCCAAGTACCCATTAACAAAGAATAATAGAAAATCATTTTGGATTCGCCCACCAATAACACACAGTGATTTTTCTGTTATTCTTGGAAGAAAAAACTAGAATCAAATCACATGAAGCTTTTTCACTGAAATGAAATTATAATTGATTAAATCCTGTCAAAAAATACACAATTCTGTTCTGCTTTCATTTCTGTCCTTTGAGATTCTTGTTTCCCAAATAATTATTAATGTCACTCAGTTAAGCATTTTTTACTATTTATGAATATAAGTAAATAAATACAGGATTAAATAATAGTGACCGTCAGTACTCAAGTTATATAGTCGTGACTCTTAGTGGTCAATTTCAAGTGTACAAGCTTAGTTTTGTCTATATTTAAATTCTTCATATTCTTTTCAATTAGACTTGAATTTTCTTTAATTAATATCGAGCTTGGTAACATAATAATTTCATTTGTGTTGGTTTGGGTCATTCTGTAGTTGATATTTTGACTGAAATTTGATCAGTTTCAGCTGTCATATGTGCATCCTGTAGGCATTGCTTCGATATAGTTATAATGATACAAATTCATATAGGATAAATGAAACGTGTTTAGCAGTCGAATCCAGGACGAGTGTTTCGTCCCATTTAGGACTCATCGGGGAGATATACCCCATTCTAACGTTGGTGTCCGCCTCGAAACTCGAACCAAGCACTGTTTGCTTTAAGCACCAAGACCTTATCCACTTAGTTGTTGAGTTCAGATAATCACTCACTTGTGCAGTGGATATTAGTTTACATTTAATTTGTAATGTTATAGATTATCCCGTTGACGCCACCTAGCTAATGATTCCCAAGCAGGACTAGACGCTCATCTTGGTTTCGACTGCTAGCTATTTTCCGTCTATTCTACATAGATTTGTGACACATTTGATCAGATAACTTTTACATGAACACAGTAACAAGCAGAGTATATATTTTCCAGTGCAACACATTGCTATATGCGAAACAACTCTACGGATGAATTACTCAACTATTTTTATGCTAATGAAAGCTAACCAAAGGTAGAAAAATGCATATAAAAATTTATGCTACTTAAATGTTGTCAGTAGAATAACCTTAATGGAAGATAATAACTATTGTGTTTTGCTGGTTGTACTCAAACTTTGTTCTTTTCAATGCATACCGTTGCCAGAAACCACAATGTCATTGATTAGGCTTATTTGTAACTGAATAGGTTATGCGACTAATGGGCATAATGACGTATTAAAAAACAAGAAATCAGATAACTTATTGAAATATCCAGATGGTAGGAACAGGTAGCCCAGATATTCAAATAGGCCGCCTAGTACTTATTATTCCACTTTTTATTGCTAACCGATTTTCCACAGCTTACATTATTTACAATCACTTTTAGCTTGTTGATGTATAATTGTGATTTTTCATTATATGGCGCTATGTAGCTCAGTATTCGTAATTTGCTTAGCCGTAATTTTCAGTTTAAGTGCACCCAAACAAGAACAATCAATTTGATCTTTATACATTTTAGAAAAGTCAGTAGTAGTACAATCATTAATTTACGCATGATGGATGTTTCAAATAGTGATTTCTTGAATTCAGCATTTGAACATGTTTCGTAAAGATAAACATGCAGAAGGATGTAATTCACCTTTTTTTCGAAAAAAACTACATGTACAAACTAAAGAGTCGATGAAAATAATCAAAGTTATGTGGAGTTTAGAAATCAGACACAGTAAATTCCACATATAAGAAAGCCATCTTTTACTTATAGACAAAATAATACAACCAGCCAATCAACTCACATAACAATGAAGACATATATAAGTCTATGTTTTCTTGTCTGTTCTTGATTTCTATTAAACCACCATGTTGATAGTTCGTAGAATATAAGCATACTTACTGTTTGTATTGAAAATACCCTAGTACTGAATGAATTTTCAAATAAGCAGCTCTACCCAATTTGACAGAATAATTACAAACATGGAAGTAAAGTAATGAACAAAGGATAAATGTCAATCTGTACAAATGCACGAATATAAATGGCCGCAAATTATAGTATAATTAACTGTAAATTTATGCCCATATATATTCCCAGTAGTTGTTTTTGTTGGGCTGAAAAACTGAGTCATAATTACTAAGCTATATACTCCGGCAGATATTGCAAGATATTGGTAAGTGCAGACCATGTGTAAACTTAATGAGTTCAGGGAATACATACAAAGTTTATGTAACTCAAAAAATTGATTGTTTCCATTAATTTTCACCGAAAGGATATTAAGAGACCATACTAATAACTGGCCACACTATGATAAGATATTCCTACAATATCTCAAAATACCAGTGAATCTTGTAACTGAATTTAAAACAATGAAGATTTGAGTACAGGGACAATGTACGAAATATATCTACTCATAACTGATTCACTGAGTTTTTTTTAAAAATATTGATGTAATAAAATTCGATAATATCACTGCCAACTTCCATTGAACAACACGTAGAACTAAACATTCTAGCGTTTAGAGTAGGCTAATCCTGTCAAAGTACACATAAACATGTTATCAGATAGTTTGAGCAATTCTCATTTACAAAAAGCATCTTTATATCAGAATTAGAACAAACAACGATAATTTACTATCGAAATTTATAGACTTTATTTTGCCATCAACTTTAGACAAAAGTCAAACTAGAACCAGTGAAGCAGTTATATACACATAAATACAATAGGAAAGTTAATTTCGACCAAAACAAAAGAAAATTAATTATAAGAAGGGAATGTGTTAGAAATTGAATGAATGTAAACGACAACATACTATAGGTAATAACAACAACTGAAACATAATCATAAAAAGAGTAGCAAACAATTGGTGTTGAATTTTCTTCCTTCCCCCCCCAAAAAAAACATCTATTATCAATGATACTGTAATTTAGTAGGAGATATAATTTTATTAAGAATATATCTTTTTTTTTAATTATTGCACACACGAAAAACTCGGTGATCATATCACACAAAAGTTGGTTAGATAACAACAATAACTGTATAAATAATAAATAAAAAACACTCATCATTAACAAAGAAAATTAAATATATGTCATAATTATGTATATAAAAACTGAATGTGTTATACATACAGGTCACACATTAGAAAACACAACAATAGACTGGAATCAGGCGCAAAAAAGCCTCTATAAGAAGATAATTGGTTTACAAAATTAAAATACATATAGGAAAAAGAAATGCAGTGTTTTACAAGGGACTAGATGTATTAAAATTTTCAATAATACTAATCCATATGGATGATTAGTATAGAGGCAAATGACTAAAAGAAAATAATGATTCCAATTTTACAACGAACTTTTGAATGCGATATACACATCAAATATAAATGCATTAAAAAAAGGAATTACTTGGGTTATAACTACATTTTAACTTCTGGTTGAATATGTTTTTGATTCTTTTTCCTGTAATACAGAATTGTCTTGGTAATTTTTACAAGTACTTTCATGATTGTTAGAACATGATGGACTGTTAGACTGATTTTTTAATGATTCGGGTTCTGAAACAGAACAAGGCGTTGTGCTGTAGGGACTAACAGAAGCTATGGAATCTTTATACCAGTTTGGAAAGGGTGTTCGTGGCATAAGCTCTGAATAAAATAGAATATAGGCCTGAGCTGATGCTACTTCTGAGAAATCGCATAAAGATACATTAGCATCATTGCAATGCAACCAACACTCTGTAGAGTAGAAAATATGCAAGAGATAAATATTCATTGAATATTAAATGTATATTATACATAATAGCTCTATTTACGAGTTTATACTGAAATTTATGGGCGAGTAGACAGAGAAAATATATTAAAATTAAAAAGTAATCTAAAAGTAGTTGATGATATGAACCAACCTGGATTATCATTCAAACAGTAAGAGGTATAATGACCAGATTGAAACCCTCGCCCATGATGCACGACAACACCGGTCAAGTGATAAAGATACTTAAGTGAACTTTTCTCAAACTCTTTTGGCAAAGTGAATATGGACGACTGATGACAGTTTAAGTTATCGATAGAGGCATTAGGTTCATCTATATGATCAGATTTTGTCTGGTGTAAATGAGGCTGATGACATTCTGCTCTGTCTACATCATTTAACACAAATTCACTCATATTCAAGATAAGAGGAAATGATACATGACATGTTAGTTTTTCTCTTTGTCTACCAACCCAACTGAAAAAAAATATAATAAAAAAATGTATGATTAAACAATGTAAAGTTTAGTACAGAGATTATTTATGTACTTAATATAACATTACCATCATAAACTGAGTTCAACTTCGACTAATGGATGTTTATGATAGGTTCAGTGTTGATTATCACTGATTGAATGTAAATTTCCTCAGAGAAAGTACATAAAATACCTTTGAGTCCGGAATGGAGCTATTGTCAATATTTTAGTGAACGCAAACACAAGCACGGGACAACCAAATGTACTTGAACACAAAATTGCAGAATCCCTTAGTAAAATGTGAGAACCATCTAGCAAATATTTCATTTGCAGACCTGACGGTTCCTTGGTTTCCACACCAAACACTCTATGTTCTCGTTTTCTTCTTATCGATCCTCTTAACCGTCTGCCGTCAGGCATTTCACTTCAGATTGGTGATACATACTACTTATATCTGCCGACATCAGTAGCACACATCACGCTATTACCGTAATTGTTTTTTCATTGGTGTTTTGGAGTGGAATAACAGCTTAAACATATGTAAAATCTCTTTCATATTTTACGTTATTTCCGTTTATTTGTTTGCTTCCACTGAAAATACATTTGAGACAATAATAGAGAGGTCATATTTTCACAACTCTAAAAATAACTAAATTTAAGCATGGAATTGCCTGAAATGGTTGTCCTAATACGTCGTGACTTCTTAACACAAATGATGGATATTGAATCTCTCTTAGTTGATACACCATTAAAGGCTGCTTGACGATTAAGTTACCGTTATTCAATATTACAGCTACCGAGATTAGATGTTTGACCGCAGCAACGAATTCACTAGCTAATCTGTTTGATAAGTTCAAATGGGTAACCCCTACTGAAAACAGTTGATATTCCTTAACGCTTACCTTAGTTACGATGATATGACTAGAGAAATGTACTTGATTCAAAACATGAACACCTGAAACAAAATAACCAATGATGGCGAGACATAGTTTAGTGTTGTATTGAGATGTTTCACTGTTCTGTAGTATTATTTGGTGAGAATCCTTATGAACGAAAGATCTGCTAGTTTAAGCATTCAAAATAATAGAAAAGTAAAAGAACTGGTGTACAGTTCCATTACAAACTGCGTTTTTTTCGTAGACCACATTTCATCTTGAAAAATTACAGTGATTGTATCTGAAGTTCACTAGCATAAATCGATTTTATTCGATAACCAACGAACCAATTCATATGTGCATTTTTAAAATGAAAGCTAAACTCAACGGCTATAGTGGAGTCAACTACAATGACGATGATGAGAATGATTCAAAAAATTGCTTAACATATATACAACTTTTATTTACTCTTATATATATATAAAAGATATACCGGAAGCGTTTAATATGTAACCGCAAAACTCGTGGGAGTTTAGAAAGGCGAATTGTTTGGGTTGCATGAGTTAATAATGAGTTCTTAGGAAGAGGAGTTGGAGAATTCTTAGGTGAATTGATGATTGCAGATTGAACAACGGATGGCTGAGTAATTTTGAATGATCTTTCAATCGGTGGATTAGTGTATTGTTCTTCAAGACCAGATTGAACAACGGATGGCTGAGTAATTTGGAATGATCCTTCAATCGGTGGATTAGTGTATTGTTCTTCAAGGCCAGTTACACTTGAAGTGGCGGATAATGGACTTTCTGACAGGGAAAAAGTTTCAGTTAACTCGCATGATGTACTGAAATCAGGGTAAGATAACTGAGGACTACAAGATGGAGATGCGAGCCTGGACAGAGCGACAGATATAAGTTTATTCACTACAAAGTTAGGAAAAAACAGTAAAAATGTAGTCAGACTATTGAGATAAATGTCATAAAATAAAAAAGACAGCCAAATTATCTTTCAACGTAAAACTGACAGGTACACAAATCAGGATTATAACCAGCAATCAGTTTTTATTTTCAATAACAATCAATATCACAAGATTCATGTTAAACTCCTTGTGAAATATAATGCATTTGTAAAATTATATTCAAACATTTCAGATTAGTAAGCATTCACAGTATCTAACCTAAAATTATTGGTTTGTAACATGCAAAATTTTTTTCTTACAGAAACAACTCTAATACTTTTGTTATTATTCATCCTGTCTGAACTAACGTTTGACCTATATCTAATTAAAAGCCCTGCTGCGTAAAACTAGCTCATATTTTTTTACAGACTACCTCCAGTGAATAGGTTCATGATTTTCAGACCTACAGGCGACTGGAGCGAAACTCCCAAAAGTAATACCAATACCTGAGAAACAGTTTGCAACAGTTTATAGAAGCGATATACCTCCCACAAATTTGACAGCAAGAAAACCATATCTATGAAGGAAAGAAATTTCAAAAGTTCTGTGATCACGTTTGAAAACAAAGTGAGAAAATAAGTAAGTCAGTTTATGATATGCATATAGCTGAGAACAAACAAGTGACATACATGTGACTTAATGCTGACAGCTACTAAATAAGTAGTATTAAAAGTTACTATCTGCCAACTAACCTTACGTAACATGTACGCCTATAATACATATTACTGATTAAAATTTTACCGGTATTCAGACATAAGAGAACACATGTAGAAAATTTTACCATCTAATATGCTCGTTGAAAAAATGTCACATTTCGGGTGCCCTGTATGACGGAAAAATGAAAATGTAAAACTACATAGTCCTGTGTATATTATTCCACTTGACTATATGGTATGGATATGTAAGAGCGATAATTCATGCTTTTTTGTATTTACCAACATTAACGACGGGATTAATTCAAAACAAAAAAAAATTAAAAATAGAAATAAATCTAACAAAACATACCAGGATAAGACAAATTGCCTAAATGATCATTTGAATCATAACTGCACTGATTGAGTGCCGGTCCCGTGAAATCTGTTTCTTCTTTATTTATTTCTGCACACTGATTGCACTTAACACAGGCATAACTGGCTCCATCAATCGGAGAGGGGCTAACAAACTGACGAAGCAAATCTACAATATCAAATGTACACGACTCATCGGAATGGCATTTGGTGGGTAGTGAAAGACTAAGTTCATAAATCGGCTCTTCAGTACAAGCGGTTACATGACAAGTAGAGCATTGTATATGACTCACGGAATATCCACGGAAAGCGCGGGTGATAAAATCACAACCACTGACAGAGACAGACATTGGAACACTATGTAGTTCTGCTTGTAAACGGTCAAGCAACAAACTCAAAAATTCCTGGGCATCTTGTTGCTTATATCCTTTAAACGTTGGAAGGGTGGCCCAAACAACACTTAAGAGGTTACTTGGACTGACAATAGACCTTTGACCTGACCATAATAGCTTAAATAAATTATGCATTTCATCATAAAGAGAAGGTATTGATGATACTTGCGGATTAACTAGCGATGAGGAAGGTGATTGCTGATAACAGTCATACATAAACTTCTGACACTGGCCGCCATTTAAACCACCAAAGGATTTGCACTTAGGAATGATATTCTTTTTTACAGAAACTAAGTTGGGCTCACAAGAAGGACCAAAACTATTTTCTGTATTTGGAGAACATGAGGGTGTTTCGGTAGGTAGTGAACTCCATAAATTTTCATAGCTGTGAGTTATTATCACTTGATTTTTCGAAAATAGTGATGTAATTGCTTGTCGCTTGACAGGACACACTGGGTCTGCAATCGATGAATCATCAAGGTGGCTGCGGCGTTTCCTTGAATGAGAATTAATTTCACTTAACGTATGGTTCATGATATAATTAGCGAAAGGAGCAGTGTGACTAAAATCAAGTTTATTAACAACTACGAAATCGTGTTACCGTAAAATCTGCAATATCGAATTCATGTAACAGGTGTTTCCCAAGTTGCGCAAACCTGTAAATGCAGGAGTTAGTGTCAGAGGTATCTTTCTGCTTTTTGTCTTTTTCTTGAGGTTAACTGTGTTAAGCTAATAACCTTATATATAGCTGACTAGTAATGACTTACCCTCGACTCAGCATACCTTGACCACCAAAGATGTAATGCCCATGAAAGACAAGAAATTCTTGAAACTTGTTGATTTATAAGAAGTGTTACCTGTTTCGGACAACTGCAGCTTGTATATCATCTGCCTTTAACAGACGTAAACCGTTCCTAAGTAACTGTAAAAAATAAAGTGGCATTCTTACTTTTCAGCGTTTTTACCACGGAACCTAAGAATTCGTCTGCCTCTTTTTTGTTTGAGAAGCTGGCCGAAATCTTGAGTAGTGACTGCATCCAAAGCCATGCGGAGAAGTTTAATATCACCCGGCGCGTTATCATTGAGAACAAAGTCATCACATATATAACTTAATATCAAACGGTTAGAAGAAACAGTACTTACCAGTATACAAATTTTTCATTCACATCTATACACAGAGGATGCTACCCTTCAATAAAATAGTGAAGTAGAAAACTTACATTTGTTTGTCGAAAGTGTTGCAACGCATGCTCAGAAATATAACGACCACATGCAAAGTTGCTGCATGACAGACAGGCCCAAACACTTTCTGTTGTTTGGCAACTGCTACAATGCCAGTGTTCGGGGGAGAGTATTCCTAACTGGATGCTTGTCTTTACTTTGAGGACGTGTTTGCAATTATCCGTCATCAAAACTTGACACCATAAGCAATACAAAAAACGAACTATGTAAAATATGCGTGTACAGATCGCAAATGTAGACAAACAATATCTAACTGCAGTATAAAACACAAATATTGTCCAAATATTGGGGAAACAATTACTGTACCTTAGGTATTCGACAGCTTATTTTATATTTTTGCTTGAGAAATATTTCCGTAGGCAACTTAATACCATCCAGCTGAATAAAATATTCAGATTATGGAGATTTTCACATGAGATAACAGCCCTGAACAAATTTTGCGATCTCTCAGCCAGTTATATGCAACGTAGAACCTGGAACATATGTGTATCGATCCAAGTTCCCACATCAAACTAATTGATGCCTGACTTTTAACCACAGGTGCCATTTGGATCGTTGTATTTATTTAATGTTACAGTAAAACAGAAGGCATTATTTTATCTACATGCTGTAAAGCCTATTGACGCTGTGAAATTTTAGACATTCTGCATTCTCAAAAGCCGGGACTAAGTTGACACACAACCCTTGCGTTTATACAAGTACGGCAACTCGATGGCCACAAAACAGCTAGCGCGCTTACAACCTGCTAACACTGATTCAAGAAAAATTTATATAACTACTAATTATCGATTGAATATTGTTACAGTTATGCCTATTTTTTATGGCCCTACATAGCACTTGCTACCGCCAGGCCAGAATTTCACACTTAAAGAGTAAAACTATACGACAATAAGTTTATAAGCTAACCCCTGTAGTTCAATATATAAATATCAGTAGCAACGATGTTACTTTGATAAGTAATAAGTCTGTGAGACTTACGTACGCAAGTACCGTGCGCGACGTAGAGAAATGCTGAAGTTAATTAAATAGGACAGATTTGTGACAAGTTCTCTGACAAGATTCCGAAACCAGGATGACATGTGTGATCAGTTAACAATCAACCAACGATATACTGATGTTTAGATTGGGTTTCACTATGCTCTAGTTCGCAACTTTGGCGTAAATTTGAGAACCTTTCACACAATCACTGCAAAAATGTTATTTCTCAGCTTGTCATAATGATAATGGTCACGAATAATGATGTCGTACATAAGTAAATATTAGATATTTAAGCTGACTTTATCAGATATATTACATACTTCTCAGTCTATATCAAGATGAAAATGTCATACAAGTGCCTTTTAAACTGTATCCACATATAATACCTAACTTTTTACTGATACTTAATTCAAATAAAAGATTATCACAACAACTCACTTCAGAAACGAAAACCAGAAAATTGATCATCAAAACCAGCGCCTAATAAATCCCATTCTGTGTCAAGGGTACAATTAACCGTCGACGGTTATGACTTCGGCTTAACGTAATAAGTGACAAAAGCGTGACCTGCTTATAATGGAAGATTTTTTCATCATTCATTACGAGGTAAATTGTTTTAATCAGCAATAAATTTATTAGAACCTATGTGAAATAACGTAACTATGGATATAAATAAGTCCTCAAATTGAATAGTTCTGTAAGTCATCGACATTGATACTGACAGCATCAGTTTAACTGTACAAACTCTGGCTGAAGGCGCGTGGGCATACATTCATGCGGTATCGCGAGTGGATGCGCCGTGTTACAAATCCCTTGCAACTACTAGCCAGATTGAACTGATCGCTTCTCAACACATTGATAACCTTCTAAATTTTTCATCAGACTCACTTATCCCAGAGTTCCGGTTTGACTAGGTTGATTTCCTATGGATATAACGAATTTGTAGACAAATGCATAGTCAAACCCTGAATATCTATGTCATCTCTATTATGTTTACTTGAAATTGTTATTCATCTAGTTGGTTTAACTTGATGCTATTATTATAGTGACGGGTATATTCGATGATACTTCTGACGATAAAGCAAAGGTCGAATTTTCTACTTACTAGTAATTACGTAAGATTCATCATCTATTGTTACTGTGTATAATTTGTAAAAACGGACAAAGTCAGGCTCCCGTTACTATTCCAATAAACACGATCTCAGTTATCTATTCTGGTTTATTGGTCACATCCTGTGAATGAAGAATATATAAGTGTTATAACGTCCATATAGGCCATTCTACATCGCCAACATCGAATTGACAAACATAGAACTCTCAATCGATGTTGGCCCACCTACAATTTAAGAGCTCAGTATGACCATCAGACAAAGCAGTGAGACCAGACAACATTCCAGAACAGGCACTGACAGCAGACGTAGCAGTAACTGTAAAGATACTCAATATTCTCTTCAGCAAGATTCGGGACAAAGAACAAGTACCAACAGACTGAAAAGAAGCACACCTCATCAAAATACCAAAGAAAGGCGATCTCAACAACTGTGATAACTACAGGGGCATCACTCTTCTCTTAATACCAGGAAATGTCTTCAACAATGTTTTGCTAAACAGAATGAAGGACGTAACTTCGAGATCAGAAGGCTGTATTTCCGTAGGATTGATTGTGTACAGTCCAAATCGCAACACTACGCATCATTGTGCAACAATCAATTGAATGGAATTCCCCACTCTACATCAATTTCATTGACTACAATAAAGCATTTGATAGCATCGACAGAACAACACTACGGTGTGTTTAAGAAGATAGTCAATATCATACGGAATTATGATGGATTAGACAGCAAAATCGTACATGGAGTACAGCTCACAGACTCGTTCGAGGTAATGACCAGTGTCAGGCAAGATTGCGTACTCTCATCTTTTCTATTTCTCCTGGTAATCGACTAGATCATGAAGACGTCAATATCTGAGGGGAGGCATGAGATACACTGAACAGCTAGGATACAACTGTACGATCTAGACTTCATATATGGTCCGGCTCTTCTATCGCACACGGAACAACAAATGCAGGAGAAGACGACCAGTGTAGCAGTAGCTTCAGCAGCAGTAGGTCTCAAAATACACAAAGGGTAAAGCATGATTCTTCAATGAAACGCAACACGCACCAATCGAATCACATTTGATGAAGAAGCTTTGGAGGGTGATAGATTCGTGACCGGTGAGCAGAGTGAATTTTCGGTCTTCTACGTAGTGCCGAAATCGCTGTGCAGCACAATACTCAATAAGAAAATAACTCTAGCGATTCCAAGAACCTATACAAACTTGCATCATGATTGTTTTGTTCTTCGCTACTCAACCATATGGAACAGACTGCTAGTGAAACTACTACCTGGTTCAGAAGTCTGCTTGATGATTTTCTTCCCGAAAATGGATCGTGTCACCTATTGAATATCAATGAGTTTAATAATGACTTATACAAACAAGGTTCGTCATCTATCTAATTGACTGAAAAGCAAAGTGTAACCTTTGAAACTTCTAACGTCTATTTTATCTTGGTTTCATTCATCTTAATATGTGAAGCCTGCTTATAATTATTACTGTTACTAATATCATTATTGGTCCCTCGACACATTAGATATTCTTTTCATCACTTCTTGTCATTTTAAACGTATTTAATTTCTGATTGTCCTTTGAAATTAATTGTGACTTTCATAGCATCATTCTTAGTTATTATTGCACAAATGTTTATGCTAATATTCGGTTTCACTCTGTATACTATTACATAAATCTACATGTTTTTATCCTAGTGCACTAAAGGATTTATTTTATTTTTCTAAATTGTTGGTTTACTTCAGAGGTCGACAACTATTCCACAATTGTTATTTTTATCATGGTTGAACCATTTCACTAGGTGTCCACTTCTTCTCTCTCTCTTTTTCCCTTCTAAATAAATATTACTCTTAAGATTACGAAGTTTGTAATCAAGACAATAACTTGTGTACATCTAAATTAACTTCTCAGACTCGTTTTATCTTCACTATGCATATAATATTGATATTTCGTTATCCTTTTCACTTAGTTGAGACTTTCATAGCATCGCTCCAAATTATGACTGCAGAAACTTTTATCCTAGCGTCATATCTTACTAAAATAATAAGTTATTTTTTCTTAATTATTTATTTTATTTTTGTTATTAATTTGACGATACATACATAGTCGTTTATTCTTGTTTTGTGTTCATAAACACGCCTATTAAACTATTTGCTTATTTCACGTCTTTATTTCTATTTCCGTATTTTCTTCCTTTCCTTCTTTAGACTCGATTCAGTATTCTTCTCAATTACACATAACACGATTTATTATTATTATTCCACTACCATTATTATTTCTTCTCTTTTTCAAGTATGGAAAATATAACGCTAACATTATTGAAACTTGTGTATTATTGCACTTTTCAAGAAACCTGAAATGTTTTCTTAACAACACTTATTGTAACGGAAAAAGAACAGTGAAAATCCCTCTGCAGCTTCTTTGTTGAACAGTATTTTCATTTATTTGTTCCTTCTCCCTTTTGTGTATTCCAACCTTTGTTTCGATCTCGTTTAACCATGTCTTTTGTTCTTCAGTCTTCCTCGTTTGAGCCTTTATTACGTGATTTTGATTAAAGACTTATTTTTGGTTACCTAATTTTCTATTGCATGTTGCCGGACCATTGACAGTAAGGTTGTGTTTGACTAAGCCCAAGGTAACGGCGTGGTTCAGTTTGTGACTTAACCTTCTGACTGTCTGCTTGGGAGAATTGCTGCAATCCTTGCAGATAGATATTTGATCCCATCTGATTGGGAATATTTGTATTGATTACCAGTGCGCTACTTTGCGTTAGAGAAACTTCTGACTGTATAGCACAGGCTGTACCGTTTGAGAAACGTTTATATTGAGCACAGAGTTTGTGTTTTGATATAATATAATACGAGTATCTCAAAGACGCGTTGTGGGCTATACAGAGGAACTTGGTCTGGTCTAATCGAATAAATTTTGGGTTCGTCAGTCCGTTGTTCCAACCGAATATTGGCTGTTCAGTCGTTACACTTATGTACCCATAAAATGTTTGTGAATAACTCAACACGCGCCAGTCAGGAAGGCCCAGGACAGAGTGGGTTTGAGAATTCTCGTTGGCAACCTTGGTTCCAGCGGGGGTAACGGTAGTAACAAATTAAGTAACACTACGTTGAAACTTGACCCGGATTACCTTTCAGTAACAACGGTGCCATCATGTGCACGGAAACCTTCGTTAATAAAGCGAACTCAAAAAAGAACTCAGAAGTTACATTTATTTCATAACAATCACTATCATTGTGTTGAATAATTTACTGATTCGTTGTAAATGCATTGTGTTACCGCTTTGTTTTATCCATAAACACACACTTTGGTTTGTAGTGTTATTAGTCTGCAACGATAAATAAATCCCTAAGATCAATAGCTCTGCAAGTACTCGACATTTAATGCTAACTGCATTAGTTTTACTGGACTCATCTATCTGAAGATGCTCTGCCACGCGTCTGCCCTAGATCACGACTGGGTACACCGTGCTACACATCCCTTTCAACTGCTACTCAGCTTAGAACAAAGGTCCCTCAAAACATTGATAGTCTTTTAAATATACTTTCGCACTCCTTCATTTCTGCATTCTGACTTGAGTGGGTCGGCATACTTCGATTATAAAGGTGTTACTGGTCAATGAGTTGTCAAACTCAGAATGCTTGTGGCACCATTAATTCTTTTTGGTATATTAATAACTTTGAGCATTATTAGATCTTGATCACGTTCTTCTGTTGGGGTCCACAACAAATCTGGTGGGTCCATATTTTTCGTTAAAGCCATTATTTTGGGTTCATATTTAACCGACTAGATGTTTCTTTGTAGATCTGTTAATACTTTATTAGAACAACACATATAAGCGAACAATTGTTTTCAATTAGATTTTCATCAGGCTTTACGCTAATATACATGAATATTTATACGAAAATTTTAAACCAATCAAGGCAATATGAGTCAATAGTCACAATGAAATAGAATAAGCCTCTACACATAATGGGTAAAAGTACAAGTTTATAGTAGGAAGACAGGCGAACTGATAATAGTAAGAATAATAAAATACAATAACAAAACTCTTATCAATAGTTAAACGTTGGGAATAGAAGGTCAAACATGGGTGAATAGACTACGAATATTAATCACAAAACATTAAAATCATTACGTAATAAGATGTGTGTAAATAATTAGATAGTGAAGAATACAAACGGAAAGAGGCGGAAAATTACAGACAAATAATGGATGTGGAAATAAGGTTATCGATAACACAAATAGAATAAAATAAATAATGATAATAATAAAATTTTAAAAAAAAGAAAAAAGGAAAAATCGTTAGTTGAGTTATAACTGGCCATAGAAGGGATAGGGGGTGACGTATTTCTTCTGTACACATAAATTGGGGTTATATGTACGAATTTTAATGGC